ATAGGCTCTCATCAGTGCTCGGTCTGACTCAGAGTTACCAGCCCTCCAGCGGTGCTCTAGACGTCTCTTGGCACTTCATCTCCTGGAGTTCCTCGGTAAACCAAGGAGCCCTCTTGGATCCGCAACCTTGGAGAGGCCACAAAGGCCCAATCCGGTTTAGAGCCCCCGCCGCCGCTGTATTCCAAGCAGCAACTAAGAACTCCGCCGAACTGTGGACGAGAGCATCAGGTATTTATCCAAGCGCCGTCTGAAATCCCATAGGGTCCATCAGGCGCCTGGGGCGGAACCACCTAATCGGTTCCCCCTCCCTACAGTGGGGGATTGGTTTCCAAAAGTCAAGCCTTAGTAGGGAGTGATCAGACCATGACAAGGGCAAGATCTCAATGCCCTTCAAATCTAGATCACGTCTCCACTGCTCCGAGAGGAATACGAGGTCAAGCGTGTGACCCGCTGAGTGAGTCGGCCCCCGAATTACTTGGGTCAAGTCCAGGGCTGTCATGGAATCCATGAACTCCTGCGCCCCATCAGAGTGCTAAGTTTAAGTGTTGCTTTTTAATTAAGCTTGAAGCACTACACTGTCCAATTTCACATAGTAAAATTTTCTATATAAAGTAAATATAGAATCACATATATAAATTGAACAAACAAATACAACTCCATGATATAAGAAGAGAAAAAGCAAGTTAGCTAAAAAGAGGACATATTAAAAGGGGACACAAACTATTATTCTGCAAAGCTTTTGACTAGCTCCCATAAACCCTTAGAAATTTAGCCAATGGTTGGGGATTATGAAATTTGGCTCACAAAATGTATTTTGCCACGTTTTTGCGATTGACCACTTTGTTGCATTGTAAGTACTAATGTATTTCCGTTTAAGACAATCTGAGATTACATTCATGTTTTCTTTCATCAGGCAGCAATACGGAAAGAATTGAATGAATTCAAAAGCACAGAAATGGAAGTACATGAAGAAAGTAGACAGTTTACAAGGTAAGAAACCATTCATGCACAAATAGCAAACTCTTTTAAAACAAGTTGCTCCTGAATCTTCAGATCATTTAATATTTATTGAGCCGAAGAGAGAACTTTTCTCCGTAAACTAAGGAAAAAACATTGGATTATTAGTTTACCATTTATTGAAGATAAGAATCAATAAAAACTCACTAATTTATGATAGATTGCTTCTTAAGCTTGAAATAGTTTATTTTCTGCATCTCAATAGATTGATTAATAGACAAGCTCTACTACCCCTCCCTAAGCACAGTCTATTAACACCATGACTGCTAGCTTGCCAGAGACGGAATAATTGTCTTCCTCTGAAGTTTTAGCAGTTGACAAAATGTGGAGACTTCATAAGCCCCAACTGAGCTGCCAATGGTAGCCAAAAAATGATATATACTTTTGAGAATCCAAAGATTCACTTGCCTATCATCTACCCTTCACTTAAAATGCTGATCTTATGTCCAAAGACTCATATCTTAAAATTGGCAATGATATAGCTAAAAATACATTCTGGTTTTGCCTTTGGTCTGACAATATAAATGCTGAGCAACTATTTGATTGATCAAGAAAACTAATTTTGTTAAGAAATATAGGGATTTTACAGTTTTAAAAAAAATAAACAGTATTCTAACAGATTTATTTGCCACTTTATTGTGACATATGAAAGCAAGATTGTAAAAACATGAACTTAGGAATTTATCAACAATTCCTTGGCTATTTATACTGATTTTGTGGTCTTTATTTGAATTAGGGAGAAACAGAACTTTTCAGAAATGTTTAGCTGCAGCAAAAAGTTACGCATTTTATTCTTATGCATTCAGCATCTTAGCAAGATAATGCTAAAATAATGCAATCCTCATTCTATAATCCACTGTCGGAACCTGTTACTTTTTTCCACAAATTCATCACCTATCCCCTTACTATTGTTCTTCCTATCACAGAAATGACTATTCACTTCTACTTTCTTTTTTAGTGGATTTATACTCTTGTGATCCATCATTTGGTTAATTGGTAGACTGGCATAATTGTGCTAAGAGAGTGTGCTGGGAAAGAACTTTCAAATACTTCTCGGACATTTAGAATAGAACAACAGAGTTGGAAGGACCTTGGAGGTCTTCTAATCCAAAACTCTGCTTAGGCGGAAACCCTACACCACTTCAGACTATCCAACATCTTCTTAAAAACTTCCGTTGTTGGAACATGCACAACTTCTGGAGGCAAGTTGCTCCATTGATTAATTGTTCTAACTGTCAGGAAATTTCTCCTTAGTTCTAAGTTGCTTCTCTCCTTGATTTGTGTCCACCCATTGCTTCTTGTTTTGCCCTCAGGTGCTTTAGAAAATAGCTTGAATCCCTCATCTTTGTGATATTGGAACACTGCTATCATGTCTCCCTTAGTCCTTCTTTTCATTAAACTAGACATACCCAGTTCCTGCAACTGTTCTTCATATGTTTTAGCCTCCAGTCCTCTAATCATCTTTGTTGCTCTTCTCTGCACTCATACTAATCTTCCTCAGCACAGTTTAGGAGTGGGGTTTGGGAATGTACATGTCAGTGTGTATATGTGCATATATGCTGCACATTCAGCATTGCATGGAATCTTCAGAGCTATAACGAGTTTATTGTCTTAAATGAATATGGTATCAACAATATTCAGTGTGAGAAGGCAAGTGGATAATACTGAGTTGCTATATTGCTTGTCAGCTGCATTCCCATTCTGGTGTTTTCTCAGTAGATAGCAATGCAATAATTGCTCTGGACCAGTGGTAAATACATTGCTGTTCAGACTACAGTTTTATGTCTCTCTTCTTTTCCACTTTTGTATCACAGGGATACTTTTGCACATTGCTGTAACTTGTGATGGTGGTATATAATATAGTTGTATCAGCCTGGGGTTGTTTTTTTCTGCAATCAATATTGTGACTCAATTTCTGACATTGCCTTGACAGAGTAGACATTGTATTTTATTCAGTTTTGTTTTTTTGTTGTCCAAAAATAGTTCTCAAACCTCAACTTTATTGACTCAGAAATCTGGTACTTGTCATATATGTGCTTACGGTTTCAAATGATTGCAAACATGACAACAAGAAACAGACAAGAATAACTTATAATGATGACCCATAAATTTGAAATGCATAGTGTTTTTATGAATGGCTTCAGACATGATCAAAAGCTTCTAAAATCCTTGTCCCTGTGCATGCATCCAATGACGCAACACTTTTGTTCTATTAGTTCTCCCATCTCTGAAGCAAATGAAATAATAACAAAAGGGTGACATCCTATTCTTAAACTGAACAGCATTATTCAGCTATGTGAAACAGTTCTAAACAAAGGGTCCCCATCAATAAAAAAAAATTGTCATGGGATCTCAGTTCATTAGTAGTTTGGAAGCATTTTGTCTTTCTAAACCTTTCAAGATAACTCATTTTAATCTGTGGGATTGTTAAAATATTATTCCTGATAGCATAGCACACAATGAGCCAAGAAGTAAATAAATGTATTCATTAATACTTAAAAATTTAGTAGCAGTGTTAGTCGGACTTGAATGTTTTTGAAATATGGATTCAATCAATTTAAGAAAGAAAGTGGTATGTATAGTATATGGGTATTGTGAGGATGTTTTAACATTTAGAATTTGAATATTTGAACTTTACAATTGTTCTTATCTTTCTTGTACCTTGAGGATGATGAGAGAAAAAATCAAAACATTTTATTTTTCACCTTCAGGTTTCATCGTCCTTAAGTGTTGAAAATATTCTGCTGTTGAGCACAACTATCTTTCCTGAGGAAAGTCCTCCATCTTGAAGCCCAGAGTACATCACAACTGAAATGTCTGCAGCACCTTAAAACTTGAGGTTACTCTATGTTGTGGGTCCTCATATTTAACAAAGAGAGACAACTAGAAGAGATACAGAAAAGAATACAAAATGGCCATGTAATATGAATGTTTAGTATTTTGTTTTGAATAGAAAATCTTACTGTTCTTTCCTTATCAACAGTTAACTGGGGTGAACAGAAAATGACTATTCATAGGAAAGAAGCACAATCCATTTTCAAATAGAATAGGAATAGACATAGCTGAACTATTATTTATGGGCCAACTAATAGAATACATTTTTTTCCCTTCGTGGAAGTAAGTTTATACTGTATTAAGAGACTCGATTACTACAGCAACATGAAAAACCAGGAATGTGAACAATTCTCTTTCTGTCTTCCAGAATGCCTTTTTGGGAGAATTGCCAGCTCTACTTCTCATAAATAATAGAGGAATTTGATGTAATATGTGAATTTGGAAGCAATTAGTACAATTCACAGTTATGTTTATGATTGTATGGTTATGATCTCTAAAATGTCCAGTGGGGGTTGCAACTAGATTATGAGTTGTACAACATTAAAATTGCTAAATGTATCTTTATTATTTAGAACTGCAACACAAATTCCTTTTTAAAAAAAAATTGATAAATTTAACAGAACCACCAAGGGTTCTCTGTAATCATGAATAAATTGAAAAATATGTTTAGAAAAAAAAATGGGAGGCAATAAGAATGCTGTGAAAAGAATCGATAAGAATCTTGCTTGATCAGACAATAGTGATAATCAGATTTTCAAGCCAAACTCAAAAGTCAACAAAGATGAAATACACATGGACACTTTCCCCCCTCCCCCCTCCGTTTTGATAGTTGAGCTATATTTAATTGGTCCTTAAATCAATAAGAACAATGTAAGATTAAAAGGATGATTTATATTGACATCAGGATTTATTTCTATTAGAATAGGAAAGGTCATAGCAGGAGTTTTGGGGGAGGGGAAGGGGACTGGCAAATCACATAGAATAAATTAGCATTACATTGCTATGTTTGGGACTACAGTAAATCTTCATTGTAACAAACTAATGGGATAGAAGAGGGAGTCCTTCACACTGAAATGGTTGTTCAAAGGCACATGGGAGTTTATGCACAAGTAAAAATGACAATAAAGATATATATAAGTGGATTTTTGTTGAATCTGAACCATATCCAATTAGTTTGAAGTTTTACTGCATGTACAAATAAAACTCTTACAGACACAAATCTTCCCTGCTTGAGCACACCTGCACATGGATGGATTCCTACCATAACAGTGCTTTGTTTTTCTTTCTTTTGCTTCTTTGACATCACACCAGTCAGCCTGGGGAATGGGAGCCTTGCCCACATTTATTTTTGTTCAATCTACCCTTCCACTGAGGAGAAGAGGAATAATAGGGATCTCCAAAAATAATAGTTCTTCTGTTCCCCAAAGAATCTGTTGCACTGAACATCTCCACGCTAAGGAAGCAAAGGGTCAGAGCAGAATACTATTATATGACAGAAAGATCCCTCATCAGAGTCAAGGAACACACATACACACACACTCAAACTCTTATTGACTTAGAATTTGAATTAGGTTGACTAAAAGTATTCAGTGTTGCAGTTTAGCAGCATTTGGAATGATTCAGGTTTTGTCCTTTGCCTTAGAAAGCTGATGGCACACTTTAATGGGAAAGGGACTTGATGCTGTAGACATCTATTAAATCCTCCTTTAGGACCATGAGAAAACTACCAAAAGGGACTTTAAACTTACAGCCTTTGTTGTGTGTGGTTATGTGGAGCAAATGGTCGGTCTACTTTTATATTACCTTGTAACTGTATCTATGAATATCCAATTAGTATAACAGTAAAAGGTGGAGTGCTTTATTATGTTGGTCCTAAATATGGTGGCTTATTATAAGCCAATGACATTGTTTACACTAAAAATTGTCTCATATTAGCACTTATTTATCCTTTTAATGTACACGGTAAAGCTTAAGGACCTGAAATACACAAGGGCAGTATTACAATATATGTGTATTATTTATCCTTTTTAAAGTCTGTACATACTACCATTTATTTTTGTCCATGTGTTCTCTTTAGTTCCTAATGATAAAAGATATGTATTTTTTTTCAGCAATAAATGATCTCTGTCATGATTTTTTTAACATCAGAACTTTTATTCCTTTTTTTAATTGGGAAATTAAATTTTTTATCAGAATATTTGTGTAAATGTAGAAATAAGGCCTACTGAGTTTACCAAAAACTTAGCCATATGCCCATATAAATGTATACATTGTGTTCTACATTTTTTTTAAACCAACCTAAATGTGACTGATTTAACACAACAGAGACTGTTCAAACAGTACTATTTGTAAGAAGAAACTGAAGATTCGAACTAGTCTTAAATAGATTAAAATAAAATAATTAGGGGAGATGCTTCCAGATGATCTGTGATAGTTTTGAGGATGGTCAATGTTACAGATTTTCTTTGAGAGTGGAAGTTAAGCAGGATCAGGATATATTATGGGGATGAAAACTTCTAGATAACTTCAAGGCTCTAGGTTAGAAGTAAAAAGAACTTGAAGAACATTTTTTCTTCTCCACTGTTGCCAAGAAAATCATGGATATAGTCTAAGCTAAGGCTACTTTATTTGGGCAGAAAAAAATCCAGATAACCACTTGTACCATAGATCTTTTTTGCCTTTCTAGTGTCCTCTAGTGATTATCCAAATATTTGCAGATTTTATAGATGGTTTCAGATATGGTACCTTTAATAGTTCCAGGAGTCAAACTCAAAATGAAAAGATTCCTTCAGGCTTCAGTTTGGGTATTTGCTTGCAGATATTTTATTAGCCAACTATGTTGAAGATTCTGTTGATAATATTAATGCGTCCTTTCTAGTTGCTCCTTTTTCCAAGATCAGAGGGCTCTACAGTTCAACCCAGAAGTACATATAGTGTCTTCTATTGGAATCAAATGAAAGAGTTATCCATTTTTCCTTTTTTTTTTACAAGTTACAAAAATATAGCTATACAGCACCATCGACAGATGCAGCTGTATATTTTAACTTAGAATATTAAACAGATAAACAGTTAAGAATTGGTACCTTCCCTCTTTCTTTTTTGATTGCTTTTATTTCATTTCACATTGTAATGTTTGAAGGCAGATACAGTCTGAGATCCTGTCTGGTCTAAAAGCAGGAATATATATAAGCAATCTAGTTTGATATTAATATTATAAAGCAAGGAACTCCTGTAAATATTCAAACTCGTAGTTTAACTTTTTAAAGTTACTTTTAACTTTAGAAATTCTTTACACAAAGGCCATATATCTACCATGTAAGTCACCGCTAGGCAACATGTGTGATATGTAAGTTTACTAAATAAATAAATAGTAAAGATCACTTTAGTACAGCAAAACACAAAAAAACAGATCATGCCACACAAACCTTTTGCATTCTTTGACAAAGTAACTAAATTATAGTAGGTTAGCAAAATTTGTGGACATATATTTGACTTCAGTGAGGCATTTGACAAGGTGGACCACAGCTTATTTCTTGGTAAGATAGAAAAATATGGAATAGACAGCATCACCACCTGATGGATTCATACCTGGCTGACCAATCACACTCAGTGTGTGGTCCTCATTGAAATTACATATATGTGGAGAGAAGAGTACAGTGGAATACCACAAGGCTCTGTCTTAGGCCCAGTAAGTTTTCAACATCTTCATAAATGATTTAAATTAAGGGATAAAAAGGGAACTCATCAAGTCTGCAGACAACACCAATCTGAAGGAAATAGCCAACATTTCAGAAGATAAGCTCAAGATCCAGAAGGATCTTGACAAAACTTGAACGTTGGGCCCTAGCCATCAAAATATAATTCAGTGATGAGAAGAAATAGATCTTATACTTAGGCAAGAAAAGCCAAACACGGACGTATAGGATAGGCGATACTGGTAACTCAGAGTGATCTAGGAGAACTAGTGAACAATCATGTAATTCAGCAGTGTGATGCAGCTGCCTAAAAAAGCCAATGAAGTCATAGACTGCAGCCCCCCACCCCAAGGATAGGATCAGGATCACGTGAAGTATCACTTTATGCTGCACTGATAAGGCAACACTGGGAATACTGCATCCAGTTTTGGTCGCCACAATACAAAAAATATATGTTGAGACTCAGAAACTGAGTAGAGAAGAGCAACAAAAATAAATATAGAGGACAGGAGGCTAAAGCATAGGTTGAAGAGTAGCAGGAACTAGTCTAACAAAGAGGGCTCAGCATGACGTAATTTTCCAATATTTGAGGCTGTTGACCTATCCCCCAAAGCACCTGAGGGTACGACAAGAAGTAAGAGATGGGGAAGCTTTACAAAGAGAGATCCAAACCTAGGAAGTAGAAATTTCCTGTCAGAACAATTAGGAATGGCTTGGCTTCAGAAGTAGTGGGTGCTCCATCACTGGAGGTTTTAAAAGAAGAGACTAGACAGCCATTTGTTAGGATTGTCTATGGAGATACTCTGTCATCCAGGTCATGATTGTCCCAAAGGTGTTTTTTTACAAGAGGCAACTGAACTTTGTTTTTTTCTTTGAAGACGTTTGGCTTCCATTCAAGAAGCTTCTTCAATGAGAAGAAGCTTCTTGGGTGAGAAGTGAAAGGTCTTCGAAGAAAAACCAGAAAGTCCAGTTGCCTCTTGAAAAAAAGCACCTTTGGGATTTGTTCCAATTGATACAGTGTCTCCTGCTTGAGCAGGGGGTTGGACTAGAAGACCTCCAAGGTCCCTTGCAACTCTGTTATTCTGCAATTCAGTATTACAAACTCTTAAGATTTATAGTGCGTTAGTACTCTTTCACATAGTGACGAACATCACTCAGAGCAGGCAGAATAGACATCAATGACAAACATCACTCGGAGCAGACAAGCTGTAATCCACCAAAGATCACGTGAAAGAAACGCTGCAGCTCACCTTTATGGGCACTTCCGGTATACCAAAGAGTTCTTTTTCTATAAAGAGATATCACTGTGATATCAACTATGCCGCTCTGGCCCTTACTAAGCAGTTGCTCTTTTCTACCACTATTTCCGCTGGAAAAGGGAGAGCGCATTGTTGTGCCTTATCGTTTTGTTGGGATCATCCCCGACATGAGCACGTTATTATTGCATGGAAAGAAAAACTGCATACTGCATTCTCTGTTGACGATATTTCTAGAGCTCCTGGATATTGTAGCCAGCCGATTTATTTGCTTGTCACCCTTTTCAACAACAATTGGTATATTCCAAGATGGCTGAGATCTAACGGAAACTAAGCGCGACAACTTCGGAAGGCCGATCCCTTTCCGGAAGCGGAAAAACGGAAAGCAGCAAAGCTCGTTCGGTGTGGAGTTGTCAGTTTGGGAACTCGGCTCGCGAGTTCCGTGGATCATTCGGCACTTGACGGCCATTAGTGTCGGAGACTCGGCACAATGGTGAGCGGTGCATGAAGTTCAGGCTTGAGCAGGCTGACAGTCTTGGGCTGCGGTTGTCAGTCCCCCCCCCCCTTTATGGTGCAAGATGGATAATCTGGGAAATGGTGTACGGTCTCCTGCCTGGGCGGGTGGGGTGGGGTGTCGGACTAGATGACTACAAGGTCCCTTCCAATTCTGTTAATCTGGCTATCTCACACGTGACAGAGCATTTATAAATTTGTTGTAACTTTCGGGGGGGGGGGACATTTCGGGATGGGTGAAATCCAAATAGAGGCACCAGCACGTTCAGGCACCCTGCCATGATGCCCTATAATGCCATTCAGGCATTGACTCTGAGGCTGCCTTAGAAGCGCAATTATTTGAAACTTGCAGCTGTGCTGAATAACAGTTAATGAAAATGTCTTGGAATGAAGAATAGCTTGCAGTTTAGTTTAGTTTAGTGTCATTGCACTTTGTACAATGAAATTAAATGCCACCTTCAGTGTACATTATAACTATAAAATAACATTTTTTGTGAAAACTTATAATAATGAAACAATGGCTATATGACCAGATCAATTAGGATTTTGCCAGGAGGAAGCTTCCCGCGGAAATCCAAGTGGTGACAGAGTGTGGATGCTACACATATTTTATGACATCACATAGCAACACTGAAAATTTTAACTGTTAACAGGATATAATTTCTTGTGAATATGTACGTTTTTTGAAATTATGTGAAGCCATTAAAATATGTGTAGCTTTGACAATGTCACCCCTTGGAGATCTGTGTGAGGTACCTACCTGGTTTAAAGGTAGCTGCAAATTGCACATGATATGGGACTTCACCAGAAAAAAGTAATCATAACTATCCTCTCCTGTCTTCTTTCCTGAAGATTGATATAACTGTGACACTTATATGGGACTTCACTTAGAAGTATTTGTTCACCTTACTTTCTTAGATGCTGTTAGGATGGAGTCAAATTCTTATGCTGAAGGCATTGTGTTGGTTGCTGATTTGTTTCCTGATGGCATATAAATTACTTACTTTTAAAATCTAAATGGTTTGTGTTAGGATTAACTGAGCAAATGCCTCCTTTATCATTTCCATTGTTTCCCCTCCCCAATATACTGAGATTATTTGAGATTATTTACCTGCTATGAAGCTTGTCTCTTGGCAACCTGAAGTTCAGTCTTCTCTGTATCTACCAAGTTTACTAGAACTGTGGAATCTAACTTCATTGTTTGCATTTTAGGAAGGCCTTAAAACAAATCTTTTAGGAAAAAGCCTTTTATTTTTACTTTGTCATTTTTGCTATTTGTGGCTTTGATTTGGTTTTATGCTTTTTTATTATGTACTGAGGAGATATTTCAATAGTATGCAGTATATAAAATCACGAGAATAATCTAGATCTCCTGAAAGAGATAAGCATAAAACTTATCAAAGGGAAAAACAATCAGTGTGGAAATTCTCTGCAATGGGATGATCCAAACATATCTGCCAGAAGATGTTCAGAGCACTGCAAATTACAGTGTTCTGGATAACCCCAGAAGCAGATAAACCATCCCAACAAAGTTCAAATCAATCTATTCTGGTTACATTTAATGCATTTTAAAAATAGCAATAGCAGTTAGACTTATATACCGCTTCATAGGGCTTTCAGCCCCCTCTAAGCAGTTTACAGAGTCAGCATATTGCCCCAACAATCCGGGTCCTCATTTTACCCACCTCGGAAGGATGGAAGACTGAGTCAACCTTGAGCCGGTGAGATTTGAACAGCCGAACTGCAGAACTGCAGTCAGCTGAAGTAGCCTGCAGTGCTGCACTCTAACCACTGCGCCACCTCGGCTTCTAAATATGCATCAGTGAACTAAGTAAAGATTAAACAGATTTGTTTGTTTATTTATTTGGTCTATATGGTTGCCCAAATCAGAGTAATGTGACCCTTGGGCAGCACAAAAATTGTTGTTTCTTTTTTACAATTATATTCTATGGGGGGATTTGAATAACCTATTTACTTAGATAAGTAGTGAAACCCTTATCAGTTTCGTTGCATTTTCAGAGAACTGCCTCTTGTTTTGTAGCCCCACAGGCGGAAGAAACCTTTCATAGAAAAGAAAAAAGCTGTAACATTTCATGTAGTGCACAGAAGTCAGAAGGACCCTTTGACAGCAGATGATAGTGCACCCCAGAGAGTTTTGTTGCCTACATTAAAGGTAATAAGAAATGACAAAGCTGAAGAAAAGCAGGCTAATGCTTATTTTAGGTGAAAGGATGGGGAAGGGCTATTCTGCCTATGGATGGGCTTTCAGGAGACATTTGAGTTGGCTGTGGGAAAATGATGCTGCTGAAAAAATGTCAAAGCTCTCCATATGTTCCTCCTAGTAGAGGAATTCTGAAATCGCTGACAATCAACATTGCTACGAAGATGCGTAGAAAGTAATTGGAACCATCATGCTTTTTTTTTCTTTAAGTTTGATAGCAACATTAGCTAAATTCATTAATTTCCTTCTTCAATGCCTTTAGAGAAATGATGAAAAAAGAAAAGAAGAACAGCGAAAATATGGAGTGTTCTTTGATGATGATTACAATTACTTGCAACATTTGAAAGAAGCTTCAGGACCTTCTGAACTTGTTCCATCAAGCTTCCCAAATAAAGGCAGGATTGTAGTGTCTACAGAAGGGGAGGTAGATGAAATTCAACATATTCTGGTAAGTAAAAATGTTCTTGGCTGCTGTGGTGGTATTTCCTATAATTACCATTATGTATGTTCAAATCAAGCTAGTAGTACTTCTTAAATGTAAAGTTTAAATTTTTAAACAATGTTTTTTATTTTTGCATACCTTTTTCAATCACCATTGAATTCTTTTATGATAGACCCTAAAACTACCTCATTTTGATTCATTAGTGGTACTGCTAAAATTATTGACAGCATTCCCAAAAAATTTATCATGCACCATGTACAGATTTGTGCATTGTATCAAATGAAAAGTATATGCTAGAAACTCAGGTGAGGATACTTGGTTTCTTGAACAGTTTAAAAGAAAATGCTACGTTTTCTTTGTTCTTTAGGCTCCCACCATTAATCTGCCCTCTTCAGTATTTGCATCAGAATTTGAAGAAGATGTGGGACTATTAAACAAAGCTGCTCCTGTTCCAGGTACTTCATTTACACTACATTTTTTATGTACACTTATATTTCGATGTGTAAAATGAAACTTTTTCCTTAATTTTTTAAAAATCTGTCCTTCGCATTATTTGTGATTGAGGAATTCTGTTACTATCTTAATCTGTAAAAAGATAGATTATAAGGGTTTCACACGTTGTTGTTTGCCTTGATCGATATCTTGTGCCATTGAGGCAACACACATTATTTTCATCAAGGCAAGAAGACAACACTGTTCCCTCTTCCATTCAATTCAGTCTTCAAACATTTCTGAAAAATTATCAGGTTTGATCTGAGGGTAGCTAGAGAAAGTAATTTTCTAAAGAATTGCTGTTGTAGTGAATGATTTTTTTTCTGTTTGGTAAATAACTTGTGTTCAGGGAAACTGACAGTTCTGAGAAATGACTTAATCCTGTCAAAACTGCTTTTTTAACATGGTCTTTTATCTAACAATAGGACCTAGACCGGATCTTGATCCCGACATTATTGCAGCACTAGATGATGACTTTGATTTTGACAATCCAGATAATCTGCTTGAAGATGACTTCATCTTAGCAGCTAATAAACCTGGAAGCCTGGAACAGGAGAAGGAACTCTCTTGGTAATGGAATGAAAAACATACTACTATTTTATTAACTTATTCAGTTTTCTACTGGGGAGGGAATCCCAATACTGAGTGTATCAAAATTATTCCACTCTTCATATATTTTTCAGGTCTTGATTGATTACTATTTCATTCTTAGTTATACTGTACAGTAGTACATGAAAAATCATGAACTATTAATCAGTATATTAATAAAATGAAGTGTAAATCTAAAGAAGCCAATTAATGTATATGCTATTGCCAGCTTATCTGAAGATGAAGATTCATGGGAAGATGTGGAGGAGGAAGAGGATGGAGAAGATGAAGAATATGATTCTGAGGGTCCTTTGTCAGATGACAGTGATTTTAAAGGGAAGATGAAAGAATTTCTCTTCATGGAAGAAGAGACCAAGAGCCGTTTCACAGAGTATTCCATGACCTCTTCAGTCATGAAAAGAAATGAACAACTGACACTTCTGGATGAAAGATTTGAGAAGGTGAAATAAACTTAAAATAGTTGTAATTATTGGCATATACTTAGAAAATATTAATTTTAATTGGATCTCTTAACATTCCTTGTATATAAAACTATTCTCTATTAATGTGCTTTTCCTTAAGAATTTTAAGGAGTTTTATAATACTGCATCTAATGCTATGACTTACCTTGACTTTTGCCTTATTTTTTGTCTAAAAGAAATTAGTTTCTAACACTTTAATATTTGCCAGTGATTATGATTTTAGATAATGTTTTAGTTTTGTTGTATGCCATTTGGAATTACCTGTTTGTAAGATAGTTGGCTATATAAATTAGAAAGATAGACAGCTCGATCACAGGGATAACAGTAACTTTTGTTTCATGAGCTTTTTTTCATCGATGGAAAGTGTTGGTTATATAAAGGGGAAGAAATGTAAAACAATTGTCCTCAAATACATTTTAAATTTGTTTTAAAATGTATTTGAGGGTTATGATTTAAGTTTGTTATTGAAAGCATATGGAATTGATTTAAATATAATATTATTTTTCACATTTAGTTTTTCGAACAATTTGATGATGATGAAATTGGACCACTGGATAATGCTGAATTAGAAGGTTTTATCCAAAGTGACAGTGCTCGATTACAGGAAGTTTTGAATGACTACTTCAGAGAGAAAGCAAAGGAGTATGTGAAGTGTTCTTACTGGCTAGTATGTTTCTTAGAAAATTTCTGCATACCTGTTCAGCAGTGAGCAGTTTATAGCTAGAACAGTAATATTACTAAATTCAATCCAGTGGTTTAAAGCATAATTAACTCAGTCCTTAAAAAGTCTCACTTTAGAAGTATTGCCTCATGCCCAAACAGCAGTGTAGGTTTCTAGTAAGCCTTTCTTCTCTCTAGAGATTGAGCAATGATTGTTGTAGATGGCATGAACTTCATCTTTTCTTTTAATGCTAAGAATAGGGAATCTTTTTAATTACTGGTCTCTTTTTATATCGATCTCTAGCGAGTTCAGTAAAACGTCTGTTGATAAAATGAATATATTTCTTTAATAATTCATATGGCTGTGGTACATTTGGGGAAGAAACCCAGTTAAGACTTTGGCTATATCTGGATTGATTACTGTGTTAACAGGTCTATTAACCAGTTGTTTAGCAACCAATCTTAAGTTACAATATCCTTTCTAAAAGATACTTATGACATGATTCTAAACTATGAATGCATTTTAGGAGCTCAGCAACCAGCGTGCATTTGTAATTTCTCATTTACAATCTTTTTGCCAAAACCCAGCATTTATTTCAGGTTTCTGGCAAAAATTACTTCATAACTGCAATATTCACTTAATAACTCACCACTAAAAAAATTAATAAAATTGGGTCAGTTCAGTCCTATGACCATAACTGTCAGGTAAATAGCTAGTCTAAATAATATTGATTTACGTAAGAAAACCTGACAGGTTTTAAAAAATCACAGTATTTTAAAAGATTTAAATTTAATTTATTTGCCTTCTGTATCTTTTTCTTTAAAAGTTGTGTGAAACTTGATGATATTGAAACCAAGAAAGAACCAGAGTTGCCCTTGAATGAGGAAGAAGATGAGATTGAAGAAATGGTAACCTTAATCATTGAAAAACCAAAAGAAAAATGGGATTGTGAATCCATTTTAAGTGAGTATTTATTTATGTATTCATATTTGTATTAGCTGTCCATTTCATATAGTGACTCTGGATGGCATACACATAGTAATAAAGAATATACTGTATAAAAACCATTAAAAACTTCACCCATGTTAGGTCATGTTCACTCCACGCTGATCTCCAGAAACACTCCAGATCTCTCTTAACCCGTTTCGTCTCCCTTAGCTCTTCCTTGACACTTAGAAAGTGACAAGATCCATGTACCAGGAGAAGTTGCATGGCCACAATCTGCTTTGCCTCTTATTCCAAGTGACAACCAGAACCAAAGCATGCTGCAGACCTTTAAGAACAACCTCCAGCTCCCTCTGGAACCCTTCCGGGCCTATCAGTTGCCATAGACAAACTGATTGAAAAGGTCCAGCCTTCCTGCGGTGGAGGGCAATACCAGAGAATCTCAAGGTTACCATGACAGAAGAGCCACAGAGAGGTCTTCCAATTCCAGATCACTATACCACTGCTGCCACAATAAGAGGAAAACAATAGATCAAATGTGTAACCACTGGCCCTAGATTACCTGGGATAGGCCCACTGTTATAATGTTGGCCATGATCTCCTGAGGGACCCTGGAGCCCATTCCCAAGGAATGCAGATTGAAATACCCCAGGCCTGGGGATTTTCACTATCAAGGAGCTCGGGCAGGGAGGTTGCTAGGCAGCAGGATGCAGGGATTTCAACTGATCCTTAGACCCCCAAATTAATGAACAGAATCTCACATCCAGTAACTTGTGGAACTGTTCCTTTGAAAGCCATCAGAGACTCCTATATAACAATTGCCTCGCCCAGAACTCACAGAGGCACATTTCAAAGAGAAATCTCCGGACCCAGTCACATCTCAACAATCCTCATCAGGTCAGCCATAAAACAAGGCTTTATTAATCTAGCATTTAATAGCAACAGCAATATGCAGAGTTACCTAGTTTGGGTACTAAAACGTCTACAAGAAAACAACCAAGCTCAGAGAGTACCAAGGAATTATGCAGAATTATGAATATTTTAATCATGCAGAATCATGAATATTTTAATAGAATATTAGCCTCAAAGACCTTCATAGATATGTTGAGGTTTAAAATTTTGTATTAATAACATTTCAAATCAAAAGTTCAGGAAAAAATAGTTTCTTAATAAGATAACCTTTCATATTATGTCTTCTCTTTCAGGTACTTATTCAAACTTATATAATCATCCAAAAGTTATTGAGGTGCCAAAAAAGGTGAGTGGAAGTTTCCTTTACACTTTAAAGACTTATTATTACAATAAATGGAATCCAAAGAACTATTAAAGATATATTCAAAATTTGACTAACTGGATTTTAAATTTCAAATATAGATAGTCCTTGACTTGCCACCATAATTGAGTCCAAAATTATGTTTGCAGATCATTGTAATGGTATACTGAAATATCATGTATCGGACTCAAAGTTGCAAACTTTTTTATGACCGTTAAGGGAATCCATTGTCTCCAAAATTTTGCTGGAAACTGGAAATAAATGCCAGGAACTGGCAAAAAAAAATGTAACAAATGGACTTCCCTTTAGATGTAACCGGGAAGATGTGTTATGATTTCCATCAGTCAGGGATTTGCATTAGTCCCAGGAGGCAGGCCTTCTCTGCCAGGACATTCTTGTAGAACACTCTCTCAAAGTTAGGCTCACTCCTAAGTCTTTCAAGACCTAGTTATGTCATTTGGCCTTGGGGTTTAGTGGAACTGGAGTCAATTTTAGTTGGCTCCATTGTGTTTTATATTTTTGTATATTTTAAAATGTTTTGATATTATTCTTATTTTAATTATTCCTTTTTATCCTTTTATAATTGTTTTTACCCACTTGCTGTTTTATTCAATTTTTGCACACCATCCAAAATTATTTTGTGTGAGTTGAGCAGTCATATGTGTGTGAGAAGGGGGGGTGGAGGGAGGAAGGGGTTAGCTCTTTCCTAGTAGTACTCACCTCCAGTATCTAGATACGTACAAAGTTAAGATTGGGAAGGGAGGAGGGAGAAAGAGAGGAAGAAAGGATTAAGCGTGGATCCAGCTTGTAATTTATTGAAGTGCTGAACAGAAATGGATGAGTGAATGAATATATACTGTATGTATAAGGAATTCAAATATGAATTAATATAAGTACCATCCCCCCCCCCAAGTGGCACCTAAACATTTTGTTCAGTTTATTACCTGTCTTAGTATTTTGGCTTCTGCACGTTTCATTGATCCAGTTAACACATTGCTTTAAAAATTCATTAGTTCTATGTATTTTTTATAGCTTAAATCAGTTAAAGTGTCCAAGAAGACAGGAATCCCACTAGATGTT